CTGTGCAGCAAAATAACCGGGGGGTGGGGGGGGTGACGAGAAACTTGTGTACATTGATACAGCAGGAGTGGGAGCCGTTTATTGTAGGACCGGAGGGGCATATATACATTTCACACAGCTTATCTTAATTAACATAAACTAGATACAGCAGTCAACCAATAAGGAATCTCCACACTTAATGGCTCACTGGTGTTACTTCACAAACCACTCCCTCTGGCAATATGCCAGGCGCCATCTTGACTTGTTTACAGACTCTAACACTTCACGCCCTCTCCTCGCCTCTGAGACCTCCAACACATCTGACCATCATTCTTTTGAGCGATGGCCTTGCTTCCTATCTTACTGAGAAAAAGAGCCCCAGCAAAGAACTTCTTCATCCTCCCTCATTTAATCTACCCACTCTGTCACTCTATCACACAGAATGCACTGTCCCTGCTTCTGCCTGAGGCCATCGCCCTCACTTGCCATTTGGGTCTCATTCCTTTTTGTGACTCAAGGACTTTGGCCTTGGAGTTGCCACTTTCTTGTCTTTATTGCCTAATCTCCCCCACTCTAGGGGCTTGTTCTCATCAATATTCAAATAATCTAAGAAATAGTCTCTCCACCCCTCAGAGTCTCCCTGCCTTTTCTTTTTCTTAAAAACCTAAGAGGTGGTGTCATTTACAGCTGAAAAAGTTCTGATTGATGCGGGACAGCCAATGGAAACAGCTTGTAATTGGTGTCTTTATTCTCATCTCAGGGAGAGTAAATAAAGCAAGACTCAGAAAGGCCAGGCATGGTAAGGCACATCTGGAATCCCAGGTACTCAGGAGGTGGAGACAGGAGGCAGGAGGACTGAAAGTTTGAGGCCATCCTGGGCAATTTAGGGAGACCTTGTCTCAAGGAAAAAAATAAAAATGGTTGGGAATGTAGATCAGTGATGGAGTGCCCATGCTTAATCCCCCAAACAAAACAACTTGCCCAAAGTCTGCAGCGTCCCTTTGCTGAAAACAAGCAAACAAAGGAAAAACTTCCCCTTTGCTCATCGTCCCTGCAGTTAATTCCCCTCCAATCACCCCCTTATTGAAAAATCTCTTGAAGTAAGTTTTGTCTTCCCTCGATTGCTCCTGAACACATACCATCTGGCTTTCAAATGAAACTGTTCTTGTCAAAGTTTCTTACTAGGTTCACCAACCACCAAAGACCAACAGCAAATCCCAAGGTCCATCCCCAATCCTCCTCTTGAGCTGACCTTTCTGCTGCCCTTGACATTGTGGGTCAATTCTTTTTTGAACACTTCCTTGACTGTCTTTAGGATGGTGTTTCCTTTGTATATAGCTTCTAGGATGGGATGTGAGTTTCCTAATCCTCCTCCTACCTCATTAGCTGCTGGGTCTTATACGTGTTCAGTCTTCTGATCTCTGCTCTTTCCTATCTGCATTCAATTCTTAAGAAATTCCATCTACTCTGGTGGATTAAATGTCATCCACATGCTGCCTCAGTCTCCCCCTGGACTCCACGGTGGTGCACCCAAGTACCACAGACACCTACACTTGGAGGTTTATAAGGCATGAGTGCTCTGGCCCAAACAGAATGGTTGATGCCACCACCAACCTGCTCCTCCCCAACATTTCCTATCTCAGTAAATCCCAGGGCCTTTCACCCAATTGCTCTATTTCCCCCACCCCTAGGCCAGTGTAGCTTGTCAGGTGTGCTTTTAAGACAGGTTTAATTTTCACCACCTCTCACCATTTCTACCACTAACCCAGACCTTGACTCAGACCTCATAATCTCTTGCTTGAATCATTGCAATAGCCCCCTTGGAACCCAGAGAAATTCTTTAAAAGTGTAAATCAGACCTCGCCACTCAGCAGCTTATATTTAATGAGCAGTTTTCTACAATACCCAGAACACCATCCAAAGTCCTTCCGGTGGACACAGGGTCCTCTGTGACCTGGAAGCTGGCATCTCTTCCCCCTGTACCCTCCCACTCTTCCCTGCTCACTCTTCTCCAGGGCTGCTGGCCTTCCTGCTCATCCTCACACTGAGATGCCTCTGGGTCTTTGCACTTGCTCTTCCCTCCAGGCTTGGTTTATTCACTTGCTTTATTCAATTCTCAGCCCAAATGTCGGTCTCCTCAGAGAATTCTTCCTGCTTACCCCATTTCCCACAATCCTTTATCCTGTTACTAAACATTATCATATACTTATCAATTTGTTTTTGTTTTTTATTCTCTCCCCTATTTAAATATAAGCTCCATTAGGGCAGGGACTTCTATGAGCTTCCGGCTACATTCAGAGCTTCCGGAGGAGAGCCCGGTGCTTAGGAGGTGCTAAAAAGTGAGTCTGTGACAGGAAAACCCCAGGATCGTGGTATCAAATGGAAAGAAATTCACGAAAACACTTTTCAAACTGAGGAGTATTAACCATGTGTTAGTTATAATGACATCTGTGGTACATTAATAAGCATTTCTCAAGCAATTGCTTATGTGTTGGATAAGGCACAAGGCACTTTAAGTACAGAAATAAACACTCTAGCTGGAAAGTTGGGGTGGAAACAAATAGAGGTGGTGTTATTCTAGAATTATAGAAAGAATGAATGAAAGTCTCTGTCTCTCTCTGTCTCTCTTACACACACACACACACACACACACACACACACACACACGGTCATCCTAAGCTGGGATTTGCAGGCTGTAATTGGGCTTGTCTGAAATGAAGCAAGAGAATGGTCACCGCAGGCAGAAGAAAGAAGATCTGTGCACATGGCCTACTGACTGAGCAATCTGCTCAAAACAGGTGTCTTTGCTCTCACTCATTCTTGAAGCACCTCTCCGACTTGGGCCTCCTGGATACCTTTTTGCGCCTTACTATTCCATTTTCCCGATGGTCCACAGAGCTCATCCTCTCTTCCCACAGGTCACGGTGGTGGCTCCAGACAGTAATTTCATCTTTGTACTTCCTGTATCCAACCTTCCATCTGTCCAGGGATTTCAGATACAGTTGGAGGTGGGGGACAGACACGTTTTGTAAAACCTTTAAAAATTATGGGGACAGATACTTTTTATGAAACATTTAAAATTTTTCATGTTTACTTAAATATTCCTCTTACATAATTCATAATAAAGACAGCAAAGTGAGTGTGAGTGCTGGCACTGAACATTTTCATCTATTACACAAATGACTGGATGAAATAATTAATGAAAAGAATTTATAAATGTGTTATAGTCCCAGAATTTGTTTTATAATTTAGTCACTTTGAATTTGGGATACAGTTTCCCAGAGAAGCAATGTTATAATGGGTACTTAAGTACCAAGAAATCCCACAAAGGCTGTTTAGCTCATAATGTAGCAATAAAACGTAGAAAAGTAAAAAGGATTGGAATATTGTAAGAATACAATCTAAGTAACTTTGAATATTGATGTTCAAGGAAAGGTGATTTTAATTAGAAGATGAGACGGTTCACGAAAACTATGGCAACCCCCAAGGGAACTTCTGAGCCCTTTCAAAGCTTCTGAACAGCACTGTCTCCATCTAATGTCTATTTTCCAGTGAAAAGGATATAATTGGCATAATCATATCCTCACACTGTTCTTACAATCAGAAGGGAGGAAGAACTCGAATCTGGCCTTGAGGATGAGGATTTTGGTCATGAGAGAATCTGGAAGATTATATGAGGTAAAATTAATTGAATGGTAGAAATAGAGGAAAAGGAAGAAACAAGTGCGGTCATGATTCCATCTGCAGGGAAAAAAGAATATGATGGGGGGAAAGATGGTCAACGGAGGCCATAAAGTAGCGCAGGACAGGCTTGGCCATTACCAAGGGAGTGACAGCAGCATGCCACTGACCTTCAGAGGTGTTGGCAATGCAGATTCTCTCAACATACCAAGGTGGCTTCTGCAGAATACAGAATTTGTACGGCATCATAATCTTCCTGTTGATTTTGGTGATGTTTTCTACTGGATAAGTCTTACTGATTCCTACAGAAGGAACTTCCTAAAGAAGAGACCCTTGCCTTTGACAAAAAGAGACGGTAAGATCCCTTTGCCAACCTTCCCCACCCCATGTGGCTTCCTTATCTTCTTTGGCAAGCTTCACTCTAATGATCCTAACCAAATCATTTAATGCTCTGGAATCGGTTTCCTCATCTCTAAATGACAACTCTGAACTAGATCATTCCTTCCAATTCTAAAAATTCGTTGATGAAATTCTCCAAAAAGACATAACAAACCAGCAGAACGAGACCTAATTACATGGCCTAAACCAAAGAGCTGATTTCCAAGACTAGTTATCTCTGTCACAGAGGAGTCATAGTGATCCAGCTTTTCCTAAACTTAGCTGACCTCTCTGCTCTCAGAACTGTTTCAGGGCAAGGAGATTTATCGAGCAAAATTGGTGTGAGAACCGTAGGGTTGTCCTTCGGTTTAAAAAAAGGGATGAGGCTGGGAGCACTGGCGCATGCCTGTAATCCCAGCCTCTTGGGAGGCTGAGGGAGGAGGATAACAAGTTCAAGACTAGCCTCAGCAATTTAGAGAGACCCTGTCTCAAAATAAAAAAATAAATAAAAGGGGCGGGGATGAGGCTCGGTGGTTTAAAAAAAAAAAAAACGCTCCTGGGTTCAATCCACTGTACCAAAAAAAAAAAAGGTGGTGGGAGGTTGGTGGTGGTGAGAGTAATTGCAGCAAAATCTGTTAGCTACTATCTCCTTCGACCTAAGAGGGTTTCTGAGTAGCCACAAGTAGATAAAAACCTCATCTCCCCACACTGGGGTTCCTCTTTTGGGTTTTGTAGCATCAACTGGCACGCGCACGGGGCACACGCGGCCATGACTGCGGAACCCTAACCCATTAAGCGATGGAAGAGCCCCAGGGCTGGTCCCGAGGGTCGCGGCTCCCCGCGGACGGAAGCGCTGCCGCCACACTTCCGGCGGCCGGCGGGACGCTCGCCACACTTCCTGTTGATCGGCTCCGCTGGGGGCTGTGCCGGGCCGGGCTGGGCTGGGAGGTGGGCGGGCTGGCAGGCGGCGGCGGTCACTGGCCAGGCGTGGGCGCGCGGGGCTGCCGCGGGCACTGAGAGTCGGCTGAGTAGCCTGAGCCCGGAGCACCTCGGCTGCAGCTTCGCGCCCTGCGTCCTTCCATCCGCCCTCGCCCAGCCATGCCCGCGGTGGACAAGCTCCTGCTGGAGGAGGCGTTGCAGGACAGCCCCCAGGTACCTCCGCCGATGGGTCCCGTGCGCCCGCAGGGGCGAGGCCGCGGAGGGGCGCCTCCTGAGGAGGGGGCGGGCCGGGGACCCCAGGAGCCCCCGCGTCGCGACCCCTCCCGGGACTGACTAACTCTGGCTCCTTCGCTTGTTAGCACAGTGCCCGGGGCAGACGGTTCGCGTTTTGGTGCCTTCCTTCTGCCTTCTGTCAAATAGAGAGAATGAGTGTACCTGTCTCCTGGGTAGTTAGGAGAATTAAATGAGAAGGTGCTTGTAAAGTTTTGTTTTTTAAATCAGACAGTTCGCGGTTCAGAGTAAAGAAGTTCATCTTGACATTCGGAGTACCCCTGCTGATGTGACCAGAACCGGGGGGTTTAGGGTCCAGAAGGGGAAGCAGGGAGGCTGGATCCCTCTCCCAGCCTCTCTGGCACTATTTTCCATTGTGAAGAGAAAATGAACAACACCTGCCCCATTTGTCGGGCGAGGGAACCTCATTAGCACGCTTGAGATGCGAGTCCTTTGAGCTTGGGGGTGAAAACTGGTGTGTAAATATAGCAAATGAGTGCAAATGACACTAGTTCATGAGCTCCTAATTCATAGTCTTTCTCTGGGGAGCTTTTGTTCTTCATTTGACACCCTCCCACCTGACCTACCCTTGCTTCCTATCTCCTTTCCTGGCTCTGCATCCCTGGGTTATTTAAGTTTCTTTATTTTCTAGTGCCAAGATTAAGCCGTTCTTCTCCCAGTTTCCCCTCTTTGGGGGTTCCTTCCTTTCTCTCCTGAGTGAATTGTACCACCCAGGATGACTCTTTGAGAGACTTATCTAGTGCTCTCTGCATCTCCACCCCTGAGAATAAGTAAACAGGGCTGTGTGCACCTGTGTTTTGTGCGCATTTCTTTGTGATCCTTCCTATGCAGGCAAGTCGGGCACTGTAAGCAAGCTGTGGTTTTTCTTTTATTTTTTTGCAAGTTGGCATCCACTGACTGATTTTTCAAAGATCTCTTTTATACAACTCTACACTTCTGGTGTTTTTAATTGAATTGGACTCCATGATAGGAGGCATTTCCGCCAACCTCCCACCAATTGAATGGGAATGGAACCTAATGTGAAATTTCCAGTGATCATTGGAAACCGAGTTCTCCACTTGCTTTGTAGTTGGGGACGCTGAGATGCAAAGATACATTGCTTTCCTAACCAGACATGGCTCTGGGCAGGCCAGTCTAAAGAAGCTGTACTCATTCCCTGTGCTGTCCTCACTGACAAATCACATTGTGAATTTTTGGCTGTCGCGTAAATGAATACACACTGAGTGGCTTGAAGAACTTGCAGCACTATGAGGGAATAGTAAGAAGACTGGCAAATGAGTCAGGAGACCTGGGTTGCAGTTCTGGCTCTAACACTGAGCTTACCATGTGATTTGGGCAGTCACTTAATCCCCATCCTGTGGCTGGCTAGTTTTTCTCATGGGCAGAGCCTCTACAGAATGAGAGACACAGAGGAGATGATCTTCAGGGCACTCTAGAGGCTTTAAGCTCTTGTCTTATCTATGGGGTTTATGATTTTGAGCTTTTATGTGGAAAAAAGAAGTTTAGACGCATTATGATTCCTATTTACTGTTCATTTTAATATAGGGAGTGTATTATTAAGGGTTCTTGATGTGGTTGCTGTACAGAATGGAAGCTACCTTTAAGAAGGTCTTTAATAATCATTAGAGCATATTTTGTGTATTTTATATGCAGCTTGTGCCTGGTACAGCTGTACTCCCAAGGAGATTCATAGACTTGGAAGTGGAAGGAGTAATCTAGCTCTTTCATTTTATGTGGAAAGAATAAAAAGAATAGCAAAAGCTTAGATCATGTGTGTTATGTGTGGACACTGTTCTAAATGCCTTACCCCTCTTAACTCAGTCCTCCCAACAGTCTTTTAATCTAGGTCTCTCTTAAAATGATTAAGGAGCAGAGAAGTTATATAACTTTCCCAAGATTGTACTCTCTAAAGTGACAGAGCCAGGATTGGAACCTAGGCAGTATGCATATTAAAGGGATATTGCTTAAGTTAGTCCAATTACTTAGCACCTGGCTTTTCTGTTATTGGTGACCTGAAGTTTGTTTCACTAAAAGGAAAAAAATCCTAAGAAACCAGCTACTGTTTGTTGCCTCTGGTTTATGTAGGAGAGCTGTGAGGTTGCTTAAGTAACCTGGTTGCACAAAAGCTTTTGTGTTTGAACTGAGTGACCCAAGAAATGCTGAATAGAAGTTGTCTGACCTTAGACACATGTATTCATTTCCTCCTTTTTAGTTGGCAGTGCTGCCTGATGTATTTAGAACTATTCTGTGTGTGTAGTGTATTATCCCTGCTTACCTCTGCTATATGAGAGGCAGCGTATCTCCAGGATGAGAGGTTGGACTCCATGGCCATTTGTCCAGCCACCACTTGCTGCTAGGAATGTGATGTAAATGAAATTCATGTGACTGCCCTCGACCGGCTCACAGTATGTTCCAGGGCCAGATAAGTGTACAGCAGTTCCAGGACAGTGTGAATGTTGCTGTGAAACATAGGGACATGGATGCTTGTACTTTGTCAAGGGGCCATTTCCTTATCCTATAAGTCATACATTTCCAAGACAGAAGAACTATTGCCTTCTTTTTTTTTTTGGGGGGGGGGGGGAAATGTTTTGTGCTTTTTTTTAAATTTTTTTATTTTTTTTTTAGTTGTAGTTGGACACAATACCTTTATTTATTTATTTTTATGTGGTGCTGAGGCTCGAACCCAGAGCCTCCCATGGCTAGGCAAGCACTCTATGGCTGAGCCACCATCCCAACCCACTGTTTGTTGTATTATTTTGCAATTGGAATCACTGAAACAGAAATTAAAGACTTAGTTCTGAGATTTTGCTGTGAGTGGCCCAGCTGGGAACAGCCCTCTCCAACCAAATCAGGTCTTTCTTTTTATGCCAATGAGATGCTTCCAAACATAACCTGGGTGGCCTTGTATGGCTTCATTGTGGAGGGGTTTTGTCCTGAGGCTCTTTTTATTTTTATTTATTTATTTTTTACATTTTTTAGTTGTCAATGGGCCTTTATTTTATGTATTGATATGTGGTGCTGAGGATCGAACCCTGTGCCTCACCCATGGTAGGCAAGTGCTCTACCACTGAGCCCCAGGCCCTGAGGCTCTTTTTATTTATAACACCATTTTACTTAGACTTATGATTCTACTAGTTAATATCTTTCCTTCCACCAAAAGATGGGAATAGAACTTTGTTTTTAACCTTAAAAATTAAAAAAAAATATTCTGACATTAAAATTGAGCCATTCCACAATAACATGCTACTGAGAAGGTCTAGGATGGCTGAATTAGGTCACAAGCTATTTCTTTACTAAGGTAAGGGAATAACACAGACCTGAGGCTATATCCTTAGGGTGCTTGCTTTTTTCCCCTCCTCTGGCTGTGGATGCTCCTGAGAGCATAGGGTAGTACAGAAAGGATGGAATTCAAATCCTGAGTTTTCCACTGTTCCCTCTGGCAAGTTATTTACCCTGTCTGAGCTTGTGTTTGCACACGTACAGCGGGAGAATAGAAATAAGCTACTTTCCAGGTTGTTAGGGGTTTATGTGCCTGCATGCCACAGTAACTTCATGAGTGCTGCTGCCATTGTCTTTGTGACTCGCCAGTGCCTGACATTTTTTTGAAAGTTCGTTATCTTCATAATCAGCATCCTCTTCCATCACTGTGTATTCATTCGGCCCTGCTGAACACTTCACATACATTAGTTATCTTGTTAACTCTGCTAATTAGTGCCAGAGCCTGGATGTGGACCCAGGAGTGATGGACCCCAAGTGAGTCACAGCTCCTCTGAGGGGCCCCAGCTGACTCGGATCCCCTGTAGAGTGGGGGGGTCATTGCTCCTCAACCTTGAATCTCAGTTCCCAGCACAGATGCTGGCTGAAGGCAGGAGGCAGGCACAGGCCACTGAATACTGACAGACTCCCAGCGTGTGTTCTGAAAAATGTCCTTTGACAATATTTGTTTTTTAGATAAAAATTATAACTTAAAGAAATGTAACACAGAATTCCAAATCCGAGTTTTTTCCTACAGGTTGTCAGGAAGTCCAGTGGGTCACAACCATGACTTTTGTTCACAAATGAAATAGGAAAAAAAGAGTGTATGCATTCTGTGGATAAATATTGTGTGGTGAAACCCCTGCTCAGGCCTTAGTGTGAAATGTATTTCATACCACGGGGTTTGATTTTTAAGTTTGAAGAACTCTTCTAACATGAGCTAGGCACCGAATGAGTTCCCTGATGAAGTTTACTCTCCGCGAGAGCTCTTTACACACTCCTTTACAGTCTCTGCATGATGGCCCTGTGATGCTTCCATTGATAAGCATTAGTACCGAAGAGAGTATGTAGGTCACAGAGCAGGGAATTTTTTTTTTTTTTTTATCCTGGAAGACCTCAGTGAATTGCTGTGAGATGCCCCAGAGTCTGTAGAGCAAAAGGAGGTTCCACTTCTGTTTATGGAGGGACCTTTGGGCCCAGGGATGTCTGGGCCCAGCTGCATTCAGGCTAGAGGGTGGCAGGCAGCCCACAGCCCCAGGTCCCTGGAGTAGTGCAGCACTGTGGTGGCTCAGGCCCTAGTAGGTGGGTGCATGGCAGCGGGGAGGTCCTAGGATTGACAGGACATAGTGGCAACCCAGGCCACTTTGCTAACCTCTCAACTGATAGGTTAGAAAAAGAAGGGATTGAAATTTATTTGCAGGGAAGTAATGAATCTTAATAAATTGTTTCTTGTAAAGCACTTTGGTATCACCTCTAAAGATATTTCTGTAACTTACGTTTTATTCTTTGCCTAATGAGTTATTTTCTGAAGTAGAAATCCCATTATTGCTTAGTGTAGTATTTCAGATTCCTCCTGAGCTGGGCACATTCACAAGAGTCCCATGAGTAGATATACCTCTTAAGTGATGCCTTAACACCTGTTCGTGCACCATTTTATATGTAAATATTTCGTAAACAATATTGCAGTGCTTAGTGTGTGCCGGGCAATACCATGAAAATGCTCGGAAACACCCTCCAGCGAGTGGCATAGCTCAGTGGTTCTCAGAGCTCCTGGGAGCGTGACTTCTGGAAGCAGGGAGCTGCCCTTCTTGTTGCTGTTTGAGTTTTGTGCCCAGAGCTACCTCCAATGGGCCCAGGCAGCATGAAATTCCTAACCACAAATTTGAGAGTTGGCTGAATAAACTATGATGAAAAACAGGGACCTTGCAGCAGTATCTTAGGAGGGACGGACGACACACTCTGCAAGGCTGCCAGAACCCAGACCCAAGCAGCTGGCTGTGGGGGGGTCAGGCTCCAGTGGTACCTGAAGCCACATCTGGCACACAGAGGGGCGCTGGCCTTATGGACTTGAAAGGAGAGTGTGTCTGTCCTAACCCCTCTTTGTTGGACGGACTTGACTGGCATGTCGTAGGGGTTGAAGTCAGGACAGATAATAGCCCTTGATTCTGAATTCTTGGCGGTGCTGCGGTGGATCCCAGGGCCTCGAGCTCACCAGGCAAGAACTCTAGCCCCGAGCCAGGCCCCCAGCCCCAGTCACAATCTTTCTAAAAACAGGTTTTCCTTCTGTGACCCTGACAGGAGGCACTGTTGCCCTGCCCTGCGGTGGGAAGGGTGGAGAGGCGGCTCCTGCTGGCTTTACTGATGAAGGTGAAGCCGGGCCCTGCCCTGCCCACCCATTTCCACTTGTGCATGTGCTCGCGTGTTTTCTGCCTCCTTGTGACTGTGACACTGAGAAATCAACTCGGCCCCCTCTCTTGCAGACTCGCTCTTTACTGAGTGTGTTTGAAGAAGATGCCGGCACCCTCACCGACTACACCAACCAGCTGCTGCAGGCCATGCAACGCGTCTTCGGAGCCCAGGTAGGCCGCCCCTTTCCCTTGGGCCAGGAGAAATTTGAGTTGGAAAAGCTTCATTTAAAAATTTGAAATAAAATCAGAATTGCTTTTCTCACTTCTGTACACCTCCCAAAACTAAGGCATTCTCTTTTCTTTATTTGAGAAAGAGTAGTCTTCCTGTAACAAGAGCCCGTAGACAGAGACCACGGAACTGCTTTTCATTTTTAAAAATTCAACCCCAAAGGGAAACATTGGAGTCTCCTCTTCCCACTGGTAAATGAGCGGGTTCAGTGTTTTGAGATGTGCTCTTTGTCTCTCTCATAAATGGACAGTCTTGAATGTCAGTGTGGGAGGGAGCCATGTTTTTTCAGAGCTTCCTCTGAAAAGGACTTGAGTCACAGTTCTGGAACTATGGGGTGGCTTCTTTGTTTTGAGGAACAAATATCTCTGGCTTGCAAACCCATGGAAAATAAATTGCTGAGTAGCCAAAGTGAAGCTTTTTAAGATCAAGAAGTGCCATGTGAGTAACTTTCTAAGGGAAGATTTATGAGTCACTTAAAAATAAAATTATGTTACACATCAAAATATGGCAATTGATAATTTTCATTATTAATTCCTTGCCAACTTAAATCTGTATTGTTAATGTTTCTTTTTCTCATTGGATGATTTCTAAAGACTTAAATACCACATTCAGTATTGTATAACTCTTAATAACCATATGGAATCATTATTATATAGCTCTTAAAACTCATGACTCATTGTCTTATTAGTCATTCATACATGGAAAAAGCCTCAGTCCTTGACTTTAGGGAGCTTACAGTTGGGTTGGGAGACAGATACACACGTCACCAGCAAGTGCTATGAGTACTAGGGAGGAGGGTTGCCTCATCCAGAGGAGTTGTGTTAGTCTGCATTCCATAGCTGTGACAAGATACCTGAGAATATCAACTTAAAAGGAGGAAAGGTTTATTTTGGTTCACAGCTTCAGAGGATTGCGTCCACAGTTGCTTGACCTTGTTCCTTTGAGCCTGTGGCCAGCCCATGTAACAAAGGGACCCCATGCGAGGAAGCTGAGGAAGCTGTCGGCTCATGGCAGTCAGGAAGCAAAGAGAGGGAGAGGAAGGAGCTAGGGTCCCAATATCCCCTCCAAGGGCACTCCCAAGTCACCTAGCTCCCTTCCACTAGGCCCCACCTCTTAAGAGTTCCACCACCTCCCAGGAATATCACAGGCTGGTGACCCAGCCTTTAGCATACAGCCTTTGGGGGCCAAACTGTAACAGCTGGGCACCCAAAAGGAGTGATTGTATTGTTGAGATTTATTGAGTACTTAACAGCTGGAAGGCAGTTTCAGGAGCTTTTACATTGATGATTTCATCTACCTTCCCCAGCAGCCCTGTGAGGCTGCTGTGATTATCCTCCTTTTGTAGGTCAGGGAACTGAGTATTTTGATGACAAGTAACTCGCCCTGGTCCACCCAGTTAAGTGTAGCAGAGTCTTTAGTCTCAAACTTCACTACTACATGGGACGGAGGGTGGAGGCCTGGGCTGGGGAAGTGCAGTAGAAACAGAAGGAGGTGGCTGCTTCAGAAGTGTCAGGAGGTGAGAGGTGACTGGATGAGAAGGGGTCTGGTGGTGAAAGAGGAGCCAGGAACGTGGGAAGAGGATGGTTAACAGCACAGGGTATAGTCGGGTAGGAGAAAGCGCTTCTGATGTTCTGTAGCACAGCAGAGTGACTCGTTAACAATTAATGGAATATTTTAAAATAGCTAATAGAGAAGATTTTGAATGTTCCCAGCAGAAAGAAATGATAGCTGTCTAAGGTGTAGACATGCCAGTTACCCTGATCTCATCAATACACATCGTGTATATGTGCTGTAGTGCCACGCTGTTCCCCATAAATATGCAAATTACTGTGTATCAATTAAAAAATATATATATGTATTTTTAAAGGGTGGGTAGGGAAAGCAGGGCACGTGTATGTATACCCAGGTGTACACATGCAGGGGGATAGGGCAGGGATGGGGAATGGCCAGGGGGCTACACAGTTCTCTCTTAAGACATCACAGTGAGGAAAGAGGTCTTGTTGGAAGTTCAGATCCAGAGTCAGAGCTGGAGACACACATATGACAGGTAAACTTTGCAGTATTTTGTAAGTGTTACTTTTTATCTACAACAAAAAATCAAGTCCTCATTTGTGACTTTGCTTGCCACTTGTTTTGGTAAAGACATTCAGAATTTGGGAGCTTTGTTGATTTTTAATTTGAAGTCCTGGCTATTTATGTTGGCATTTTAAAATATTTTCCCTAAATACTAGAAATATAAGAAAAGAGACTTTTTTTAAAAACTTATACTGAACTTATACTGACTTATACTGAACTTGCTTGCCATTCAATAATTTGAGTATTATTATCAACGATTTCCCTCCTGTTTGAGGCTGAAAGCCACTCCCGAGAGTCTGTGCAGCTTTTCCATGTCTGTCCGAATCATTTGCCTGGAGAAGTGAAACAATCTCTTATGCATCTTTTCTTTTGAGCCAGAAAATCTGTTTTGCCAAAATTAAGTAGGTCTTGCATTCCAAGAGGCTGGAATCCAGCTTTTAATTCACAGCACATGATCATCACGTGGGTCCTCTGGCCAGAAACCCTTCCTCCCGCCTGGTTCTGCAGCAGAGGCTGGTGACAGTGTGGGGTCAGTGCTGCAGGATGAGCAAGTGGCACTGATCAGATGTGCTCAGGTCAGCTGGGGCATGGATCATTGGTTTGTCAGGCTTATGTGAAAGCTTAGGTGTTGTATTGCCTTTTAAATTTGAGAAGGAAAACTTTTCTGAATCTTCTTTGGTCAGTTTGCTTTGATATATGTGAGTCTTTATATGTATTTAAATGTTATAAATATTTCATATCTACATCTTATTAGGGGGCACTGGGTACTGAACCTGGGGGTACTTCACCGCTGAGCTACATTTCAGCCTTTTTTTATTTTTTGAGATAGGGTCCCACTAAGTTTCTGAGGTTGGTCTCCAACTTGTAGTCCTCTGCCTCAGCCTCCTAAGTCAGAGGAATTACAAGCGTGCACCACCACACATAGCTGATAGATGTGTATTTCTAAGACAGTAATATTTCTCATTGTCTTCGTTTAAGTTTGTTTTCCCTGAGTTATATTTTCTTGGTTTTATATTATTCCTTAAATACTTTTTACTAAGACATATTGAATTAGGTTAATAGTACTTGTTTTTAAGAATAAAATTATAAAACTCTTAGACATAATTTTTCATTATTATTTTTTTCTTTCTTCTTACTTATTTATTTATTTTTTCAGCACTGAGTATTACACCCAGGGGTGCTGTACCACTGAGCTTCATCCCCGATTCTTTTTTAATTTCCTGTTTTGAGTCAGGATCTCGCTAAGTTGCTGAGACTGAAATTCAAACTTGAGATCCTCCAGCCTCAGCTTCCTGAGTCACTGATATTACAGGTGTGCACCATGATGCTCATCTCATTAGTACATTAGTAAGTTCAGTATAAGTCCAGTTTTTTTAAAAAAAGTCACTGGTATTACAGATGTGCACCATGATGCTCATCTCATTAATATATTTTAAAAACTGTATATAAATGCTGCTGATGGATGATGAATGTCCTTCAGCCCTTAGTTTTAGAAAGAGGAAGAGAAAAAGTATAGAAAGTTCTGTGAGCAGTTTTACTCATTGTGACTAGTTGAGGGACTTTTTATATTTCATTTGGCATAAGCTCTGAAATGCAGCTGTAGGCCAGAAGTGGTTCTCAGCATCGTACAGCAGCAGTCCCTGGAGCCACATCTGGTCTCTCTGCTGTCATGTGCCTTTGCATGTGGTGGGGCTGAGTCCTGCCTGTGGGTCATTGGAATGAACGAAGCCGCGGGCATTTCAGGGCACTGACAGATCAGAACTGGTTACGTGGAACATGACTGTTTTGAAAACACTGAGTTTAAAAGCTTTAGTAGTATCTGAACAGATGCATAACTATAACTATACGTAAACTTTGCATTAAACCCACATAAATTTTGCATTCAGTATATTTGTTATGATACTCGTTCTGATTCTGGTAACCTGCCATAATTTTGTTCCTAAAGGGTTTAACATTTTTTAATTTTTCAAAATGGACTTCTTAGGGCTTTACAGTGATATTTACGCAGATCATCTCCTTGCAGCTGTTGTCCTGAGGAATCGGGGCCAGGTGCAGTGGCAGTTCTAGCTTTGGGCACTAAGGCTCTCCCTGCCGTTCTCATACCCGTCTTCCTCCCCCGATAGATGTTGAGCCTCTGTGGGGAGTGCTTTCAGGTGGTTCTGTTGTTGTTGTTTTTGTTTCTTTTGCTTTTTAAAAAATAAATCTTGGATGGAATTTTCTTGAGAACTATAGTTAAGGTGCTCACTTTCCTTCCTCCAGACAGGACAATCCACCCAGCTCCATCTCTCCACCCCTTCTTTTTTTAAAATTTCTTTTTTAGTGTTGATGGACCTTTATTTTATTCATTTATTTATATTCGGTGCTGAGAATTGAACCCAGTGCCTCACACATGTGAGGCAAGCGTTCTACCACTGAGCCACAACCCCGTCTCCACCATTTCTTATTATTTTTTTAAAAAAATATTTATTTATTTTTTTAGTTTTTCGGCGGACACAACATCTTTGTTTGTATGTGGTGCTGAGGATCGAACCCCGGGCCGCACGCGTGCCAGGCGAGCGCGCTACCGCTTGAGCCACATCCCCAGCCCCTCCACTGTTTCTTAACCAAAGCTTTTGGAGTATAGAACTACAGAACCTAAACGGATCCTAAAAGCTCAGATTTAAGGTGGAAACAGTGTCCTCTCAAATTGGGGTGAGGACAGTGGGAGAGAATAGAAGTAAAATAATTGGAAGGGGAGATATGCATAAAGTTGGTGTAGTAACGAAGACAGCTTCGTTATATATACAGATGTGAGCTAAGCAAGTTCCTGTACCTGCTGGGACACAGCATGAGGGCAGGGGGCAGCCAGGGCGTGAGCCTGTGATAG